GCCTTGCTCTCATGTCACGCTGACGTATGGCAAAAATCTCGCCACAGCGAGTCGGCCGTGCAGTCGAGCGCAGTTGCTCTCCCCCAGCTGCGCTGACCAAAAGCATGATGGGAAACGACTTGCTGATGACACAGCTTAATGCTCATTGGTTCAAACAACCGTGATGTTGAGTTCTCTTCTAAAATGTTTTATTTTTATCTGATATCATGTGATTGTGTTTAAATTATGCATGAATATTCCCAAACACTATGACAGTGCGGTCTCTGTGTGAGATATGAGTTTGTTGTCATATTTCTGAAAAAAAAGGCCTACTAAAATGCTTGTTTGTATTAAAGTAAAAATGATAAATACGTCTTTCGAATGGAATTAAATAGCAAGTATTTAGAGTTTCTTGTTCATCATATTTGTTTTCATATAAAAGCAACAGAACTGAAATGATAATGCAGCGCATGAGTGTGACTAACGCTGTGACGAGTGGAGTGTGTCCGAGAGCCGTGGGAACGGAGCGAGGCCAGTGGAGTAATGATAATGAGCGACACCTTCGCCACTCACCGGTCTCGAGTCCCATGGAGGAGCTCCGGAAGGATAAAAGGAGGAGTGACGACAGTGCAAGACGAGAGAGAACCAGGCCTGGATTTATGTTGTTTTGGTTTTGTTTGCTAGTTTAAGTTTTGTGTTTATTTTATTATTAAATTAATTTAAATGTTCGCCGGTTCCCGCCTCCTTCTTCCCGATCTACGAACTGTGTTACAAACGTGATATCCACCTTGATCTCGTAGGTGTCTGTTCTACTTCGAGAGCTCAGATCTGTCCATCTTGACTGTGTTTATTTCACTCCTCCCCTCACTGCAGCTGCATACTCTCGCCTAAATGTCAGGCGAGGCGAGCCGCATCTCAAACGAGCCTCTTTACATTCTGTCAAATCACGTGTGCAATTCGCTTTGTGTGTCGCAATGTTCGAACTCCAGATCTTACTTTACGAGCAAGTTTTCATTCATGCTTATTCGATTACATTTGAAATAGTCATTCAAGTAAAATTAAGAATACAAATTATTTAAGGAAAATAAAATAATTCCCATAACGAAACCCTGTTAGACATATTAGGCAATTCTTCTATTAGCCTACATACTAGGCTACTTCTATTAGCCTATTTCTTACATTATTCTTCTATTACATCATATTGATTTTCATACTGGCATTTATTTCCACACTTTAATAAAAAAAAAAACACTTTAAATTAATTTATCAGAGAGAGAAACACTTTCATTTGTGCTCATAACATTGAAACTCTCCGTGGAGCATGTGGTGGCTGCATCATCCGGCTTTTTTCACAAGCTTTTAGCTGCTTTATTTCTTACACTTACATTATAATTAATTAATTATCATTCATTCATATATTTTCCAGTGACACTGTCAAAATTTTGAATTTTATCCCATCAGTGCTTTACGAGGCTTCATTTCCCCATCCTATCAATCAAGAATTCCAAGTACGTAGTTTCTGTGTGCCTCAAACCCATGACTTCCTCAACATGCTCCACCAATAGAGTAGGCTACTGGAACTTAGCTTTGTGATGTTTCAGATAAGGTGGCTCTGTAGTTTCCGGTGATGTACAGTATGCTCTCAGTAGCCTTCTAGTGTCACGTGTATGCTGATTCGCATGTTGAATGTCGATTGGCTGTTGGGCCTGTGTGTGTGTGTAGACAGTTGTTCAGAGTAAATGATACACGTTAGAGCTCGGAGTCTTTTTTTGGTATGACACTATTTAGAGTGACTACACAAGAATAATAGTTTTACTATATTTGCAGAAATCTCTGGTAAATATTAATGCATAGTGTGCATTGATTACTACGCATTTTATTCTGGGGAGTGATAAAGAAATAACATTAATACGTTTTTCTTGAGTTTAACCCTGAGGTATTCCTTACTTGGGTCACACTCATTGGGTAACTCCTTAAGTGTAACCTATCAACTAAATAAATGTACTATATTTTAGCTTAATAATATTTATTTAATGTTTTATATAGAGATATACTAAATAATATCTGTGCAGTAATTATTACCCATTGATGACCATATAAAATGTGTAGTTAATTGTTCTAGGCTGATATTGTTTTGGCCTTCTGTTTTAAGATAGAACTTGCTATTTAAGTTATAGCTAATACTGGTTGTTATTGTTTTGATGAATGTCTGTTTTTTAGATTATAAAAAGTGTGCCCCTCTACGAAACGAAGAAATGCTCCCTCCACCCATTTCTATGTAGAGAGCCGGCTTCCCGTGTTTGCCTGGGGGTCCTCAGCGTCAGCCTTACACCCAGTCTAAGCGTGCGCTGGCGCCTCGCCCCAGGGTGTGCACGAGCAAACCGGGTGCCAGTCCGTGCCGGTAACCGGATGCTGCTTCGCGGCACAACTGAAGCAGCAGACACGTCAAGTCCTTCGTGGGAATTGTGTTTAGCGTACGCAACCCGCGAAGTCCTAAGCACAGACTCGCCGAATGAAGCTTCACGAAGAAACTTCACTCGACTGTCGGAACTGAGCTTACCTTTCCGTCCTGCAGTTACAGACACACCGACTGAGCTCGAGATCTTTAGAACGAGTGCCACAATGATGTCACACTGGCCGCTCTCTTCAGGGAGCCTGGTCTCATGAAAATGCGTATAAATAGATAAATAATTTGATCAAAATAAACTGATACGCAAAAATGGACTTTGGCGTGCATATGATACGCATGTGTTTTGTGTGCATATAATACGCAGTTTTCGCGTGCATATGATACAAAATTTGATGGCGTGCATATGATACGCAATTTTCGCGTACATATGATACGCATCTACCCCACAACCCTAAACCTACCCATCGCGTAGCATATACACGCCAAAGTGCATTTTTGCGTATCAATACCAAGAGTTTTAGTTTTTATTTGGCGTACTATTTATACGCACTTTCATGAGATCGGGTTGCTTCAGGAGATGCATCTTTTAAATTGTAAACCTATTTTTTATTTATGTTTTGTATTCTTTAGAAGAGTTAAAATATTATTTGAATACAATTTCACTTTCTTTTAACAAAACAGTACCCAGAACGTGGACAATTTGCACGGCTTATGAACTCTTTAATCAATGTGTAATGTTTTTTAAATGTAATGTTTGATCTCCAATGCCTCTTTATTTTCCTTCTTATAATATACTTTAAAACAACTTGATTAACACAATAATTGCTGGACAAAATGTCAAATGTTGTCCATGTCCTCTACTCACCAAGGTAGTGTGGTTCACAACAGCACTCTATGTACTTGACATTGATTTACATAGGCTAGTTAGGCTAAGCTGTAGGGTTTAAAACAAAGGGTCAGTTCACTCAAAAAAGAAAATTCTGTCATAATCTACTGACCATTTTTTCTCTCCATTCAATGGTAATCAAAACTGTTATTTATTTACTTATTTATTTGATGGGGACAGCACTCATTAATTAACAGAAACAAAACAATTCCTTAAAGGCTAATTTATAAATAAAGGCAAAAAAATCTAAATATAGAGAAAATCATCTTTAAAGTTGTCCAAATGAAGTTCTTAGCAATGCATATTACTAATCAAAAATTAAGTTTTGATATATTTACAGTAGGACATTTGCAAAATATCTTCATGGAACATGATCTTTACTTAATATTCTAATGATTTTTGGCATAAAAGAAAAATCTATAATTTTAAGCCATACAATGTATTGTTGGCTATTGCTACAAATATCCCCCAGCGACTTAACACTGCTTTTGTGCTCCAAGCTCACATATAGTAACTGGGCAGTTCTTAATAGGCAGCCTAAATTAAAAATCACAATTATGACATTTAAAATGCAATGCATTTAAAAGAAGAAGAAGAAGAAGAAGACGAAGAAGAAGAAACAAACACATCATGTTCTAGTGCTCCTAACATTCTTAAAAATATCTATAAAAATATTTTGTATTTTACAGGGTTGGAATAACATGGGAGTGATTAAATGATGACAGATTTAAAATTTGTGTGTGATATATCTCTTAAGATGCATTATCTTGGACCAAATTCTGATTAATGACATGTTCTTCTGCATGTAAACATGGCCACTGCGTTACCTAGAAGAGCTGAAAGAATGTTAATTAGAATATTTTAATTTTTTTTTAAATCTTGCTGGCAAATATTAAAAAAAATATTTCCGTCCACCACTGGGTTCTCTTTCACCACTAAGCAGCATAAGTTTATTTTTTGGCTGTAAATTCAGTCTCACAAATCAAAAGCAACCATATGCTAGGAAATACCCATACATACATAAATACATAAATAACAAAAAAATTAAAAAATTAAAATTTGCTAAAAAAATATGTTTCATAATATATTTACGTAAATATATTTTCTACCGATATATTTTTGCCAATTTTTTTGAAAAATTATTTTAAAGTATAGATTTTTTTAAAGGCAGTTTAGAAATTATTTTCAACCCAGAAAATACACATTTGAACAAAAACTTTATTTGTTGTCTATAACACGTGTGTACATATATTTGAAAAAATTTATAAAAAAAAAATGTATCATTAATGAATCAGTATAATTCTAGATTTGATCTCTAGTAGGCTATTCCATCCACATTTGCATTTAGACTAAATGTCGGCCACTGCAAGATTGGAAAAGTATTTTCCTGCACCTGAAATACATATTAAAATATCATTTGGTATATGAAGGTTAAAACTAAACATATTTTAAATTTCAAAAATATATGTAATTTAATTTCATTGTTTACAACATACAGTATATTTAACATATTTAAAAATATATTTTTATTTATTAATTTTTTTGCTGTTTGGGCATGTTTAATTCACATAAAACCCCACATTATTACTGAAAAACAAGTGCTTTTGCACTTGAGAGAATTCAAACTGTTCAAAAGTGCTGCAAGAATTTCTCCGGCACTATTCTGTCATTTCAAAACACATCACAAAATTATCTTTCAGATTGTTTCAAATGGTGTCAGGTGGTCTAGATGTAGGTCTTGGGAGGAGTTGTAGAGCGTGATACTGGTGCTGTGTGGCTGAGAACAGTGTCGACCCCACTGGATGGCTTTGACATCTTTACAGGATTGTATATGACAGATGTTGAGCAGTTCTCTTTTGGTGGACAAGAACTGCAAAGCAGCCCCCCTCCCAGCACCAGGAGGAGCCCTGCGGCCCAGCCGAGGTACAGCGAAGCCCCCAGCTCCCTGCGCTGAGCATCCAGTAACAGGGGATTGTAGAAGTCGTTTACTATAATGACAGCAGTCCAGGACACAGTGATAAGACACAAAACTCCAGAGACCATCAGAACCAGCCCAGAAACAATGGATGCTTTTACTTTTCCTCGTTCCTCAGCTATGAAGTCGGTGCATTTCCCTGAGACGAGCGCCACGAGAATCCCAGCGATGCCCACCACGATAGAAAACACCATCAGGACGCGAGCAGCCTTCAGATCGGGGCTCAGCGCCAGCATGGAGTCGTAGACCTTACACTGCATCTGTCCTGTGCTCTCCACCACACAGCTCATCCAGATCCCCTCCCAGAAGATCTGAGAGGTCACAATGTTGGTGCCAATAAAGGCTGTTACTCTCCACATGGGTAGGGCGCACACAATTATCACTCCAATCCAGCCGAACAGGGCCAGGATGCAACCCAGTATCTGCATGCCCACAGACGCCATCTCAATATCAGTCTTTCCAAAAGCTAAACCTGTCTGTAAGAGGTAAACGTGCTGGATTCAGAAAAACGCATGCTATTCCCAGTGAGAATCTGCACAAACTGAGGCAAAGCAGCTTTGGGAGATTCTGTGTGTTTTACACAATAAAGGGGTTTTAAATATATACGAGAGATCGGTTTACGGTCCTTTGTCACTTTGTAAAGGGAGGAATACACTTTTGTTTAAAGGGTTAGTTCACCCAATATTGAAAATTAATTACTCACCCTCACGGTGTTTCAAACCCGTAAGACCTTCGTTCATCTTCGGAACACGAATTAAGATATTTCTGATGGAATCTGAGAGCTGTCTGACCCTGCATAGACAACAACGCAACTGAAATGTTCCCAAGTCCAGAAACGTAGCAAGGAGATCTGTAAAATAATCCATGTCACATCAGTGGTTCATCCGCAATTATACGAAGCTACGAGAATACTTTTTGTGCACAAAAGAAAAAAAAAGACTTTATTCAAGAATTCGTCTCCTCCGCATCACCCTGTAGCGCCATTTTGGAGAGTATCAGCTGGAAGTAAACAGCGTATGCTGTTCTGTGTCAGCTGCGTCACACGGATACACTGTTTCCGTTCAGATCAAATCACAAGAACGTAGGAAACAGATCTGGCGTGACGCAGCTGACACAGTACAGCATACGCTGTTTACTTCCAGCTAATACTCTCCAAAATGGCGCTACAGGGTGATGCGGAGGAGACGAATTCTTGAATAAAGTTGTTTTTTTCTTTTCTTTTGCACACAAAAAGTATTCTTGTAGCTTTGTATAGTTGTGGTTGAACCACTGATGTCACATGGATTATTTTACAGATCTCCTTGCTACGTTTCTGGACTTGGGAACATTTCAGTTGTGTTGCTGTCTATGCAGGGTCAGACAGCTCTCAGATTCCATCAAAAATATTTCCGAAGATGAACGAAGGTCTTACGGAACAATTCGATTACTTATGAAGCAAAGGGATCATGCTCTTAAGTTAGACCTCAGGTTAGACCACCATCTGCTAAGGCTGTATTTTATGAAAAATTGGATGCCCTTATCAAAAAATGTAATACAAATAAGGAGATAATTTTATTAGGAGATTTTAATGTAAATTGGAAGGATAAATTACAAAGGAAGAAATTAAAAACTTTAACTGGTCATTATGATTTTAAACAGATTATTGAAGGGTCAACCAGGCTAACTAGATATTCAGAAACATGTATTGATCTGGCTTTTACAAATAGACCAGAAAGGATAAAGAAATGCTATAATCTGGTAACTGGACTATCTGATCACAATATGATTTTGATTGTAAGAAAGCTCAGTAAAACCAGATTTAATTTAATATCTGAAAAGAAGGTAGAAAAATATAAAATACCTAAAAGTCAGTTGGATTGTCTTGAAAAAACAATAAAAAAATAGACTGGGATGCATATTTAACATATGAAGGAGTAGATCAAAATTGTATATCTTTTATGACTGAAACACAAAAAATTATAAACAGTTATATAAGGAAAGTAAAAATAAAACCAGGACAAAGAGAATATTTACCTTGGTTAAATGAAACAATTCGATTACTTATGAAGCAAAGGGATCATGCTCTTAAGTTAGCCCTCAGGTCTAGAACGGAACATGATAGGCGTTTATTTACCACATTAAGAAATAAGGTTGTAAAGGAACTTAGAAAGGCGAAAGCTACTTTTTTTATTAAGACTATTAGTGAAGCAAAAGGAAATACTAAAGAAATATGGCAGAATTTAAGGAAATTAACAGGAACATTTAAGATACATAAAACTATAGAATTAAATATAGATGGAAATATGATTAATGATTCAAAAAAGGTGGCAGAAGTGTTTAATGATCATTTTATAGATTCTACAAAAACTTCAATTAAGAATGTATTTGATTCAAAAGATTTAGCTATACATTTTAATGCTTCAATTTTGACTTTTAAAGAATTGACAAATACCAAAATACACATGATTATTACTTCTCTTAATAGTTCAAGGGCAAATATGTGTATGGAATGGATACAATATTTAAAAAAACATATAAAGAGGCACTTATTCCTCCAATTAAAAAAATTATAAATTGGTCTA